AACAAATGAAACCAAAAAGATCTAATTGAATCATGTTTAAAAGGTTAGCGATTAATCATTGCAATTCAACCTACTCCCCAACGCACGAAAACTTAGACCCCATATTCAGTCTCCCTTTGTCTAAAAACAATGCTGCATTCTTCCGTGCAGTTCTCTCAGTTTTTGAGCCTGACCACGTTCACCTGCTTCCTTCAATTTTCAGTTAACCTTTCTCGGAGTCAGAGACTCTATACCTCTATATATACTGCCATCCTTCTCCCACACGGACACAAGCTCCACTCCTGAGCTTTTTTTTATATTCCTTCTCTAAAAAGTCAATTAATTTGCAAAATCGCAAGTGTTAGTTAACAATGGCCGAGTTTCTGGTGCAGCAATACAACAACTATGAAGTAGTCAAGGGCCCTGAAAAGAGAAAGAGCCAGCGCGGCTTCTCTGCCAAGTGCGCTTCCTTGGTAAAGCAGCAACATGCCCGGATCTACATCTTGCGCCGCTGCGCCACCATGCTCCTCTGCTGGTACATTCACGGTGATGACTAGGCTAAATTACTAAGCTCCTTCAAACTAATCATTCACAATGACGGTCGTATATCTTCGTTGAATTTTCGTCTCCTCCAACAATTAGGCATTGTCGGAATTTATATCCGCTAATAGTAGTCCGGTTTGGTTTTGTGGGGTATGTGGTTGTGGTGTATTCCCTAGGTAATTTTTCCTTAGTTTCCCTTTATGTTTTTGACCGGATCGGAGAAATCTACCGGGGTTTTTGGGAGGTAGGAAGAATTATGGCCGCACTACTTCCATGCTTTTTGACTTACCGGACGTTGTTTAGCATGATCATCGATGGAGCAATATACATTATATATGTTTGAAGGAATCGCTCAAGGTTGCTTGTCTGTTGCCATAAAGGTTAATGAGACTATATGTGCTCTTTTGCCCTCCTAGATTGAGGAAGAACTTGATGTATAACATTGTGTGCTATTAAGAATTATAAAGCATGTTGTGTTACTGATTTCTTTTTGATCAATATATATTGTATGTTCAATTAACTCCCCTCTGATATTACCAAAAAAAAGAAGAAAATTAATTGCCTCTGCCATCCAATTACACTAGAGGTTGAAGAACTTCATTTTTGTTTTTGGGTGAATGTTTAACAAAATCACACTTTACTAAATTATGTTGTTCAGTCGATTAAAAATCAACATTTATTTATTGTAGATCAAAATGCAAAAATATTACTTTTCTAAAAAGTGTTAACTAAATTTTTGTTAAGTACAATCCCAACATTAAAAAAATACGAAACAAATTTGTGGCTTAAAGTTAAGATAAATGATTTTTTTAATTTATACCTTTTAAGATATAGGATAAAAGTACATTTTTAAAATAAATTTATATAAAAGTTAAAAAATAAATATTAATTTTAATATCAATATTATGTGAATAAATTTAATTAAATATTTTTTTTTTATTTTTTTAATATTTTTAATACGTACTCTTAAACACATATTAAAAAAACTTAAAGATAAAAAGCTCCTCTTACACGTTAAATTTTCAAAACTATTCACTCGCCCCCTGAGTTCTTTTTAAGATTCAGGGGAGACAATGGCCACCTCTCTAGATAAGTAGATCTATGGATGCCGGCGGTCATAGACATGTAGGCCCATAACTTTGTTTCTATTATGAAGTGGGGGCTGTGGCCCTAGGCGGCTCATAGCTCATTAATTGGGTAGAAACTAGAAAACAAAATGGAAATTACATCGGAATAATGGATCTTGACTTGCCCACCCGAGGGGTGGAGTCTTTTTTCTTTAGCCCACTAGGAGGGATCGGATTCTACTTCTTTTTAGCCCACTTGGGGATTGGAGTTGGAGTATTCGACCTTGGTAGTTGGTACAATGAAAGATACGGACACTGGATACTGGATAGGGAAAATGCTGCTTACACCCACTCACGCTGACGCAGCAACTGCCACATCCAAGAATTATCCCAGCCTCAGACAACTAGATAGACCCGACCTGAATGTGAATTCCCAATTCCAATCCCTCCAGGCTCCAGTATATATGTCAAACGGAATCATTTCGAACTAGATATATAACCGTGACTTTCAATGAAAGTAAAGATTCCAATGATGGGAAAGATATTAATGATAGAAACAGCAACACCGCTTAAATAGTTTGGAAATAAATTTTTTTAATAAAAATTAAAAATATCAATTGTTTAAATAATTTAATGATTTTTTTTGTTGAACATAAAAAATTTTAAATTTAAATCACATAATTACAAATAAGATGAGATAAAAAATAAGATATAATTATTTCTCATTGTATAACAAAGATAAAATAATAATAATAATAAATAAAAATAAAAAATATAAATATAAATTATATAATATGTAAATAAAAGATGACTATGAAAAGAAAAAAAAAATAATTCAATGATGGAGAAAGATACCCAACGGTTTCCTTGAATTGATTATCATGAACAAAAGTGTTCTTGACTTGAATTGATCATACAGCACGACTTGTAATATGATATTAAATA